GAGCCTGTCAGGCTTTGTCAGTTGGTTTTAAATTCTCAGCCACCATGGTAAGTAGGACGCACAGCACAGAACACAGCACTCGAGCATTTCTCCACACAGTAACATAATACCAGCTTGATGAGAGATGGAAAGTGGCTGTCAAGAGACCTAGCAAAACTTCACTTCTACGATACCTTTAAAGATGCCTTTTACAAGCACAACTGCATCCCTCTTGGGAACCTGCTTAACCACAGCCTTGCTGAAGTAGATAAACCTTGTTAAGTCCCCAGATGGAGTAACCATCTCTACATGGAAGACGTACATCCTGCATTAAGATGATACCAACCTATTAGAGTTTTACTCATCTGCCTGCTGTACTGTTCCTTTCTCGGAGACATAGATACCGTCCAAGAATTTTCTGATATCCTTGTTCTTGACCGTAGTGGCTTGCTGGATCAAGGCAGCTACAGACAAAGCAAGACCATTAGCACAAGGCAAGAGCTCCAAGCCAACACATAGCCTTTGTTTACTCTTCCCATATTTCAACTAACAAACAAAACTTGCATTTCACTGAGCCCATCTTGGCAACTCAGGGCGGTGGCAGTTTATTACTGCACACTCATACAACTGAAAAGTTTGGTGCCAAAAAGGCCATCAATACTGACTCAAAAAAAAAAAAGCGTCTGTGAGCTTTTAATAATATCTTTAAATTTAGAAAAAATATAACAAACTATGAAAAGCAATTACAGGGACTAGAGAAAAAAAATAATTGAGCTGTCATCTACCTCAGGGTTTGAGAAAAAAAAAAAAGAAAAAGAGTTTGCTATGCTGACATCTTCAGATAAATGTGCCCATGTCACTGTATCTTCCCACACATCTATGTCACAAACCTGAATTGGAGACCAATTCAATGTCATTCCCTTCAAGGATCAGCTCATCTTTCTGGGCTTGAGACACTGCACAGGAAACACCTACAGAAAGGAAAATACACGTTCTTCATCACTGGTGAAAACATTGAGTGTACAAAAAAATCTTTCTGGGCTTGAGACACTGCACAGGAAACACCTAGAGAAAGGAAAATACACGTTCTTCATCATTGGTGAAGACGCTGAGTGTACAAAACCCCCCCCAGTATTAATTTGTTCCCATTTACAGATCTAGAAAGCAGCATTCTAGGCAATAATTAGCTTCCACGGCTTTACAAGAGTACCCCAAATCCCTTCCAAGACTTTCCTCCCTCACAGTTTCAGATCTCAAAGATTAGTGCAAGTCATGCTCTGGATTGAAAGCAACTAAATGATACTCCTATTTAAATGTTACCACATGACAGCATTAATCACCATCACCGCATAGAGGCCAGAGATTTTGCCAGCACGGCTTTGTCAGCTAGGTGGTGCCATTTCCCCCATTCCTGTGTTCATTAACCCAAAACTAGATTCACCCTAATCAAGAATCATTAAAAAACATCACTGTCCCCTAATATGTCAAGCACCATGATTATACTAGCAACACTAGGACATTCATAAGTCTTAACTAGAACTTTCATTTGCAAGGAGAGTAACACAAGAAAGTGTTTACGGTTTGACCCATTTAGTCAATAGATATTAGACTTTAAGCCAGCTTTTTACTATCTTTGAAGTAAATGCTTACAGAAGTCAAACCCACCCTTAATATCCTATAGTAAATCAAAATCAAAGCCACCATAAGTAACTCCGCACTTTATCTTCCAGTGGTTTTGGATAAGTCTGATGCTTTCATCTAAAGCCACCCCAAAACACCATCAGTCACACTAAATATCCTTGCCCATACCTCCACCAGTAAGTGAACTATCAAACACTGTATATGGGAAGTTTTCCATGGAGTCTTAAGGTAACCGTGTTTATAATATGTTTTGTCTCCTTCTTTTGAAGTTTAACAAACTCCATCAAAGACCTACTCTGCTAAAACTCATAAGTGTGCAAGATGTAAACTTCAAAATTATCATGTTATTTGTTTTTAGCGCATGTGCTCCAAGACAATGAGGAAATTCAAAATACAAGAATGCTTCAAAGACCAAAAATACAACATGGTGTGAGACTAGCTCATGTACAATGTTTAAAAGAGAATTAGAATCTAAAACTGAGCACCTGCAACTTACCAGCTATGAATACTGTCAGTATCTCACTATAATTAAACACTGGACTACCTGTAGCTTGTATTAAAATAACAATCTCCAGTTATTGGCTAGCTCTCATTAATAAAGTACAAAACCATTATTAATTACAAATCTAAAGAGCAGTAAAAGTACCCTAAGATTACATGAATACAAAAAGACAAATACTGCTTCAACAATCACTCACTGTCTTCTGTGGAAGCAGCAGCACCCAGACAAAGCAGTTTAGAAATCTTAGTTAGAAACATCAAAGTACATCTCCAGCTATACTCACCTGGCCTCATACGCACTCGGCGGATGTACTTCTCTCCCAAGAAGTTTCGGATTTCCACAAGTGAGCCATTATCCTGGATAACTACGTTGATTGGGAAGTGAGCATACACTGACCTCATCTTGTAACGGAAGCCCTACAACAAAGGACAGCATCAGATACTGAAAGCAGAACACATCCATAAGGTAAAACAGATGCACTAAGCTTAACGCAGCCATCTAAACCCAAGATATATTGGAAATAGTTTCTTAACAAGGGCAAGACACTAAGCCCAAGAGACATTCATGCTTTTTTCCACCTATAAAACATGTCTGACAGCAAGTGCAAGAGAAAAAAAAAAAGTAAACAGAGAGAGAAAGCTACATCTCTCACTAAGCCAGCACTCTCACTAAAGTAAAAGGCTGTGTATCGATGAGTAACAAAAATGACAGGAGTTCTCCTATTTCAAAAGAAGACTCACCAGTGTAACACCCTTGATCATGTTCTGTACATGGCTGCAAATTGTGCGAACTGTTGCCAGCTCCTTTCTGTTACCCCACCACTTGTCAACACGTAGCTGCGTAAAAAAAAGTAATAAAAAATTCAAGATTTCTCCTACACTTCAAAACTAAAAGTGAAACATTTTTGTGACAAAGAGTGAAAAGTTCAGATAAACTACTTAAAAGCCCACCTAACAAAAGCACGTAAACATTTCCTTTCTTTGAAAGACTACTAAAGGCCCACCTAGCTCAAGGCCACAAGATCATGTCCTAACCCCCAGACCTCTGAGAGATGTTTCTTTTCCTCATGTCTTGCTACTAACAAACCTTCAAAGAGGCTGGGATAGATATTCTGACATCTTAAGCTGAGGGATGTGTTATAAAATGCTAAACACCAAACACATTGTTCTGAAGTCGGTCTTCTATGTACAATCTATCAACTTTTTAATCAAATGCTGTGTGTGGGTCCAGTATCTTAATGAAACATTACATTCTTCTGCAAATGCAGTTGAAACGAGCCATTATTTTCCTTTTTTTTTTCCAGTTTTTAAGGCCATATGAAAATATGTATTTCGAAAGCATCTGCTCTCCTAACGTAACTTGCCAATTCTGGAAATTAAATGTAGATATTTAGTTCTACCTAGCTAAAAGTAGCCAGTTGTAAAACACAGAATACAACAATCAATGTCTTTCCCAGTAACTATCAGACTGGAACAACAAAACAAATCATAGAACTGCAAGAATTCCACGGCACCAGAGGAGGTCCCAAAGTTCCATGAGACTTGCCTCTTTCAGAAAACACAGAAATAAGCAAAAAATTAAATAACATGCCCACAGATAAACATTTTGGTCCAATCTCCTACACTACCAAGAAGTTGTTAATTTAATTCAGAGCTGGGGTTGCTCAGCCTGGAGACTCTGGGAAGATCTTTCCAGTATCTGAAGAGGGCCTACAAGAAAGCTGGAGAGGAACTCTTTACGAGGGCATATAGCAATAGGACAAGGAATAATGGCTTAAAACTGGAAAAAAGCAGATTTAAACACCAGGAAAAAAAATTCACTATGAGGATGGTGAGACACTGGCACAGGTTGCCCAGAGAAACTGTGGATGCCCCATCCCTGGAGGTGTTCATGGCCAGGCTGGATGGGACTCTGAGGTGGGAGGTATCCCTGCCCATGGCAGGAGGGTTGGAATTATATGCTCCTCAAGGTCCCTTCCAACTATGCTATGATAATCGTAAAGTCACGGTCTCTAGGAAAGAAACTGCTTCTGCAGCACTCACCTTCTTGCGTTTCTTTCCCAGGAGGGAGAGCTCCACATTGATGTGGTTAAAATCCCGTCGCAAGGTTCCTCTGGGGCCCTTTACAATGACCGTCCGGCCCTTCAGCGAGACACTGACTGCGAAGCACAGACAGAGCCACGTTAACCGGCTGCGGAGCCAGCACCGCGAAACGAACGCCTCCCGAACGCAGACCCACCTTGCTCGGGGATGTCAACGGTCTGGTTGCTGAGAATGGTCTTCATCCTACAAAGGACAACGGAGAGAAGCTGCAGGGCCGCACAGCGAGGCCCTTTTCTCGCCCCCTTCCCGCTCCTTCCCCGCGCCTACCCCAGGAACGCCCAACAACGGGGAGTCCAACCGCTCCCCACCCCCTCCGCCGCCACCGAGCCGCCGGGTGCCGCAGACAACACCCAGCCATCCCCCCCGGGCCGCCCGGGGGCGGCGGCCTCAGCGCCCAGCTCCACAGCGGGGCCCAGCACGGGCCTAGAACCGGCGCGGGGAGGGGAGCGGCTGGGGCAGGCGCCATCCCGGGGGATTCCCCCCCCGCAGGCGGGGGCAAGAGGCGGCGGGCGGATCCCGCGGCGCCCCGGGAGGCTGCCCGGTCCCCGGCGGGGCGCTGGGGGGGCCGCCAGCGGCCGATGGCCCCGGATGGCGGCGCCGGCCCGGCCTTACCTGGCAGCAGGCAGCGGGGAAAGAGGCCGCGTCTGACGTCATCACGTACTTGTAGCTGCCTTGACGTCACGGCGCCGAAGCAGGCGTCCGCGAGGCAAGAGTAGCCGAGACCTGATGCGCGTCAGCTGAGTGAGGTGAGCGGGGACGAGCGCCGAGAGGATCGATCGGGCCGGTCCGGCGGGCGCCGCCATGTCGCTGCTGCCGCGGGGCCGCTGCGGCGGGGCTGCCGCTGCCACCGCCGCCCGGCGGCTGCTGCTGGGGCCCCAGGGACGGGTGAGTGGGCGCCGTGTCAGGGCGGTGTGTCGCAGGGCGAAGGGGAGCGGAGGGCGAGCGTGCCGAGCAGTCGTTGCGGCCCGGCGGAAGGGAGACCTCGGGCCGGTCCCCCGGTGAGGGGATGGGGGGGATGGCGGCGGCTGAAGGCGGTGCCGTTGTCCGAGCTCATCTCTTGGTGGTGGGGGGGCGTGACAGCAGAGCCCGGGAAGGGCTGTCCCCAGCAGGGCAAGCAGCCGGGGGGCGTGAGGCGGGCGGGGGCTGCGGTGCCGCTGCACAGGCACACACCGGGGAGAGAAAGTCACCGAAAACTGCGGCACCGAGCGCACCCGCCTCGGACCCCGCGGCTGAGAACCAGGCTGGGGCTGCCTCTCCATCGACATAACGTCATAGAGTTGTTTAGGTTGGAGAAGACCGTTAAGATCATAGAGTCCAACCGTAAACCTCACGCTGCCAAGTTACCGCTGAGCCGTGTCCCTCAGCACCACATCTGCACGTCTTTTAAATACCTCCAGGGATGGAGATTCCACCATGTCCCTGGGCAGCCTGTTCCAATGGTTGGCAACCCATACCAGGAAGAAATTTTTCCTAATATCCGATCTGAACCTCCCCTGTCACAACTTGAGGCCATTTCCTCTTGTCGTATTGCCTGTGACTTGGGAGAAGAGGCTCCCACCTCTCTACACCCTCCTTTCAGGGAGCTGTAGGTCTCCCCTCAGGCTCCCTTTCTCCAGGCTGAACAACCCCAGCTCCCTCAGCCTCTCCTCATAAGACTTGTGCTCCAGAGCCCTCACCACCTTCGTTGCCCTTCTCTGGACCCACTCCAGCCCCTCAGTGTCCTTCTTGTAGCAAGGGGCCCAAAACTGGACACAGCACTCGAGCTGGGGCCTCACCAGTGCCCAGTACAGAGGGACAATCACTGCCCAAGTCCTGCTCACCATGCTATTCCTGCTCCAGGCCAGGATACCATTGGCTTTCTTGGCCACCTGGGCACACTGCTGGCTCATGTTCAGCCGGCTGTCCACCAACACACCCAGGTCCTTTTCTGCTGGGCAGCTCTCCGGCCACTCTGCCCCCAGCCTGTAGCGCTGCCTGGGGTTGGTGTGACCCAAATGCAGGACCCAGCAATTGGCATTATTGAATCTCATCCTGTTGGCCTTGGCCCATCCATCCAGCCTGTCCAGATCCCTCTGCAGAGCCTCTCTACCCTCAAGCTGGTTGACACTCCCACCCAACTTAGTGGTGTCTGCAAACTAACTGAAGGTGCACTCGATCCCCTTGTCCAGATCATTGATAAAGATGTTAAACAGAACAAAACATCCATCAGTTACTGACTTGGCAGCGTGCCATTAATCATCCCCAAAATCTCAATCCATAGAATATTATTTATATCCAAAACCTACATAACTTAGTTTGATATTAAGATATTTTGGAAGAGGTCATTCTTTTTGTCTGTTACACATGACTTAAAATGAAAAAGAGCATTCATTATATATAAACTTAAAGGCAATTGGGACAAAGCTTGCACTAACTCTATAAAGTGTTCACTAACCACCAAAAAGACAAGTACTTACTTACTAATACCAGTACATTTACAATTCGATAAATTATAGTGTTTCTTTTTTTAGGTGTCTGGGAGCCCTGTGCATAACCAGTACAGAACATCCAGTTCTTTGCCAGAGGAAAAAAAAGAGTTACTGCAAAATGGACCAGACTTAAAAGACTTTGTATCTGGAGATTTGTCAGACAAGAGCACATGGGCTGAATACAAAGGCAATTTAAAGCGTCAGAAAGGAGAAAGGTGATTGTGATTCTGAACAACTGTAGTTATTTCCATGCAGGATCTTGCATGTTTAGTGTTAACTACAAAATGCCTACAGTATATTTTTATTATATTCTGTCCTTTTTGAAGAAAAAGCAAACACTTAAATTATTAACTTCAAATATGTAAGAAACATGAAGACTTGGTATTTTCTCATTTGAGTGCCTGTATTAAATTACAAATATACGTCAGTAGGTGAGTGTACCATACTTCGGTGTTGAAAAATATTATTGATAGAATAAAACAAACAAATGAAGACTAAATTAAAAAGTGCTTAAATTCCTGCTATTTCCCATTACAAATTTGATCAGACTTTGTGATAACTGCAACATACTCTGCCGTTAATTGTTGCTGTCTCCTGTGTGGCACTATTAAATCCCATTGGTACAGTTAACAGTTTTAAACCTTCCAATGACAACAAACTCCTACTTTTGAATGTTGGGATGATGATAAACATGGAAGAGAGAAGTCTGTTATGACTATGAATGATGTTAATATTGGTTGCTGAGTTGGGTCAGTTTTCAAGGAACCTTTCCTAGTTGGCACCTGTAACAAATTAAAGTGGATCTCTGAAATTAATGGAACCTTACCAGGTAGGTAATTTATTAATCTCTCTCTTTGCTTGATGTTACTCAGGCTGCGACTTCCTCCGTGGCTGAAAACGAAGATTCCCATGGGAAAGAACTACAATAAACTGAAGAATACCTTGAGAAGTTTAAATCTTCATACGGTAAATCTAGCACCAACCAAGTTTTCCTCTAGAAAAATTATTTGTCTGTGGTGGACAGGTAGAAGTCATGTCTTGCATGATCTTCAATGCTGAAACCAAGCCCAGTGCTGCTCCTAGTCGCCAGTGGTGAATTTTACCCATAAGGAAAGAAGACAAATCCAGCAGAGTATTTCATGTTTTTCCCACTGGGATTTTAAATACTAGGGTTTAGTACTTGCATTACCAAAGAGATCAGAAAATGGTATGTGTGACTGCTTGTAATGGAAACACACAGAATTTCAGTGTTACATACATGTTTTGCATGAAAAGAGATTCAAGAAATATATGTATTTCATTAAATATACCTTCCAGGTGGTAAAAAGCGGTGGGTACGCATGGAGAGCTTTTTTTTTCCCCACAGCTAGATCACGCTTTGATGAATCATAGACTTTCTGAACATTTTATAAATTATTAAATTTAAAATGTTAATGGCAATCTGTGCTAATTAATAAGGCAGTGACATGGTTGCGGAGTTTTTGGAGTTACGAAGTAGAAGAAAAGAAGTGTAATGGATGTCAGGAAACAATTCTCTTCCTAGTTCTTCTACCGACTTCTTATAGAGCAACATCTAACTCTCTTCATCTCCTCATTTATCACAGAGGGAATAATGTTTTGTTTGTAGACTACTATTGAAATTGTTTATTAATATAATAATAATTTGCTAAAATAGTACAGAGAAAAGACAGGTACATTACTGCCTTTTAGGTGTGTGAAGAAGCCCGTTGTCCCAACATAGGAGAGTGCTGGGGAGGGGGTGAATATGTGACGGCTACAGCTACTATTATGGTAAGCCATTAACCACTTCTTACGTATTCTAGCAATGTTTGAGCTGTTTGTAGTGTATTGCTGGGTCTCTACTGTAGTGGAAATGTAGAAATTTAGAGTAAATCACTGTCCTCATTGTTTTGCTTAATATTGGGATGTATCTTATCTAGCTTAGCCACTGTTTCTCTGCTGAGCAGTAGTGATTTGTACAGTGTGAAGACAGGAACGTCTGTCTTGTTTCAGCTGATGGGTGACACGTGCACCAGGGGCTGCAGATTTTGTTCAGTCAAGACAGCAAAAAATCCGCCTCCACTGGATCCTGAGGAGCCCTACAACACAGCGAAGGCTATAGCCGAGTGGGGCTTGGATTATGTGGTACTGACCTCGGTGGACAGAGACGGTGAGTGCCTTCTCTCTCAGCTCCTTCAGTCCCAACTCTCCTCTCCCTTATAATGGGTGAACACAGACCTTGGTAAACATTTGTCACACAGCACAGTTGTTGAGGATTGCTATTTTAAAGGAGTTGACAGTGCTGAAATTCTGGAAAGTTTCTACACGTTCTTAGTATTTCTCTGTGTCTGGTGAAATATAAGTTACACTGTTATTAAACATTAACATATTAGAATACTTCATCAAAAAAAGCCCCACAGACATTCATATACAACGCCATTACAGAACTTCCTTCCAAAAACTAAACCTGGAATAGCTTAACAAAACTGAAAGTTGCCTATTTCTAAGGATGTAGTAGCTGCTTTGTGGTGCTATCACACAGGAGGGGAAAACCATTGTAAAGATTATTCAGTATATTTTGGTGGAAAGTCCATTAGCCTTCAACATGGCTTAAAATAAAAGAGCATAATGTATTTCAGTTTTTGTAGAACTGTTTATCAGACCAAAAACATAACAGGATAAAGCCATTTTGTGCTCAGGCTGACAGTGAACTTAGAGACAGGTAAATTCAGAGTAAACATTTGAAGTCTGCCCTAAGAAGTCTATCCCACAGTTAGACTTTGCGCAAAACAAGGCTTACTGGAATATCTCTTGTAAACCTTTGGCATAAGCAGTAAGATAAGACTGGGGTTTGACTAAGATTTGCTTTATTAGTTTGCATTTAAATTTGACTCTGCTGGTTTTTGTGGCTTTGCTAATAAGTGAATACCTTTCTTGAACAGAAAGGTTAATTGAATAATTGAAATGCTTCTAGATATGCCTGATGGTGGAGCAGAACACTTTGCAAAGACAGTCTCTCATCTGAAAGAAAGGTACATTTTTAATGTATTACTGTTATTACTACAACTTTAGAACGTGGTACTGCATGTAGGTCAAAACTACCTTTAGCTGGATTATTCCAGGGGCCCTGCAAGTACAAAAATCTGCCTTTAGCCTTTCTATGTCCCCCTCTTTTTGGTTTCCCGTTTTCCATCTTTATCATGTAATGGCCCCAGAGTATTTTGAATTTGGATGTATTTCCCATTTAGCCTGGGCTTATTTAAAGCTAAACACTGGATTATTTCTTTAACCGTGTGGCTGGTTTACCAGGAGATGAGTACACACTTCTGAGGTACGTTTATTCTTGGATCTTGGGGCTCAGGCACAGTGGATTCAGGTAACTGTGTCCCCACATGGCAGAAGAAGTCGGGTTTCTCTTTCGGTGGTGATGAGAAACCCCCCGTGGTGTTCTCCCACCACAGCTGTCTCCATCGTGCTGCTTTCCCTGGCTGTGCTGCCTCGGTGCCCTCTGTGCCATTTGGCTGCCTGTTTGTCTACCTGCAGGTTTTATTCCTGCAGCCTCACGGGAGACTTTGTCCAGCATACTTGGGGCTCCAAAGGCTCCAGCAGTTTTCCCTGCCTGCTGAAATCTGGCTCCTGGACACCGAGATGAGATTCCAGGGCATCAACATGGAGTCTTCTTATCCTCCTAGGCAGGGTTGTGGCTCCTCTGTATTTTGGATATGAAACTTCAGTTAACCTGCCACAAAAATGCATGAAAAATCATATGTAAGCAGCGAACGTGATTGTTTAAGAGGCTGTTGGAATCGCTTTTAGATTTATTATTTGGCTTTCATTCTATTTCAGCTCACATGAATGAAATCAGGAATTAAAACACGTGACGCTTTGTTTGAATTGTGATACAAGTATTTGCAGAAATCTGTTGATTTAGAAGCATATCCTGAATTAACTTTGCGTTGCTTATCAGAGCATCACTTACTTAATGATTGGACTTCGTCATCTTAGAGGTCCCTTCCGACCTAGATAATTCTATGATTTTATGAAGTAATGGGGTTTTTTTACTATCTTATTTTATTTTAGCCACGGTGAGGCGAACCCTGTTGCCGTGTTCACTCTCATCCTCCTCTCCTTTCCAGGAACCCCAAGATCCTGGTGGAATGCCTGACTCCCGATTTCCGAGGGGACCTTTCGGCTGTGGAGAGAGTGGCCTTGTCGGGGCTGGACGTGTACGCCCACAACGTGGAGACGGTGCCGGAGTTACAGCGGTGAGCACCGACGGGGGGAACGGGGACAACCGGCTCCGGGTCCATCTCCCCTCCCCACGCCGGGCCGGGGCCTTCCCTCACGGGGACAGGGCCGCAGCCCGAAATGGCGGGGGGCGCGCGCTCCCAGCCTGCCGCGCGCGCCGCCGCGCCCGCCTGC